TCTGCCATCGGCCTCATCAACACAGAACATAATCTAGTGCATGAGACCTCCCTTGCAGAGGAACTTTAATACAGTTAGTGTGCAATAGGGAGAAGGAAAGAAGAATTTCCAAATCAAAACCCAAAATACCCATCCCCCTCGTGGGTAATGCCCAAACAAGGTTAGCCGAAAACAAGACTGCTGAGGCCCAAAGTCTTGCCACAAGTCTAAGGCACTTCTGGTGTGGAACCATAGGAAAGGGGCGGAAGTGGCCAAGCAAGTCTTCAGTAAAGGAGAAAAAAATCAAAACTGAAATCAAGTAAAGGCTGCCATCGTCAGCCTCCCCACGGCTCTCTCACCAACATTCTGTCTCAGTGCCTCCTTCCACTTCCCCCCATCACTGGTACAAAGCCAAAACCAAGAAGCAAGTGCAGCTTCTTCACGTGGCTCAGCCCCTGTGCCTCTCCCAAGTCCTCCTCATGCCCCCCTGCCTGCCTTCTCCTGGTCTTCCCTAGCTTCTCCTCCCTGCTCAACCCCCACTTCCTTCCTGGAGGGTACAAACCCTGGGGATTACCCTTTCACAAGGTCACCCCAATGTATTGTCCTGTCTCCTCCCGAATCAGCTCTGCTCCATCACATGGCTCCCACCATCAGGGCAGATTCCCCAGGCTCAGACCCTGAGCACTGGCCCCAGATCCCCATTCCAGCCTCTCCAGCCCTTTGTGCTTTCCTGTGAGTCTGGCAGTACTGGGAGCTGGGGAGCGGGAGCTGGGGATTTTTAGCGCTATATTCTACCTCTCCATCTCCCCACAACCTCCCCACAGCCACATGAAATAATACACACACCAGATATGTATGTTTAAAGATTTATAATATAAAACTGTAAAATACTGCACAAATGAAATCTATAGGTATGTACATAAATATATACACACATATATACACATTATACAATATATGCATAATCACATGAGATGCACAGAGATACAAATGACAAGCACAAAGGAAAGCTGGTGTGAAAATCCTCAGGAGTTAGCAGAGGAAAGACAGTTACAGAGAATGCTGCTATCTAATTTCAGATGAGAAAAAAGGAGGCACCAAGAGAAATTGCTGGTGAGAGGAGCACAGGCCATGAGTCCAGGCCAAGTGTGCAGATGCTAAGAGCCCGCAGTTGAATCCTGGACTCAGGCCCTGACAACAGAGGCTGAGAACCTTGTGGCCCAGCACCCTGAAGGTCCCTTGTCACCACTTGGCTCAGGTCTCGCAGGCTACCGGGCCCTGGGGAACACACAGTAAATGCTCAGTTGGGTGCAGAATATTGTCTTCTGTTCCTTCAGGAATTCCCCTTAAGTTGCTACAGAATCAAATTCCACTTGTCTGTGAGAAAAGATAACCCCACTTATTCTCCCTCTCACCCCACTTCACAGCCTGCTGGTCTCCCCCTCCCCTGACTCCACCACATCATCACCTGTCCCTGTGCCCAGCACCACCGCCAGGTGAGAGTTGAAAGGGCCAGACTGAAGGACCAGATCCAGGAGCAGAAACCAAATGCCCTCCTCTCCAGCCCTGCGCTTCCCCTCACTCAGTGCCTGAGTCAGGGTCCCTGAGAGAGAGGTCAGACCCTGGCCTCCAGGCCTGGGGGTGCCCACAAGTGGGGTCTTCTCTCCTCAGCTTCTCTCCTCACAGTCAGCTGCACCCCAGGGCCACTGCCTGCTCCCTCCCCATCACTGACCTCCCCTGCAGCTCAGCATGCTCTAGCACACTGACCAGCAGCTCCTAACTGCATGACCATCAGCTGGCTCACACAGGCCAGCACTGCCTGGGCTCTTGCAGCTCCCCAGGCTCTCAGGCTGCACTTGGCCTTCGAGCCCCTTCCTGGCCCACTCACCCTGCAAACTCAGCTCCACCCCGAATGCTGCTGCCTGGCTGAGTCCTAGAAGGGACATGACCAGGCACTGGCTCACAGCCCTAGGGAATTTCTTTCTCTGTGCAGATTGGGGGCTCTTGAGACTCCTCAGCCTGATGCTTGGGTCTGCCCCCTTTATCCCTGACCTATCAATGTCACCACCCCCCCCACCTCCCACTTGGAACCCTCCTGCTGCATTTTGTATATTGCAATGCATATAAAATGCATAGTTCTTTTACTGCACCCTTAGGGCCTGGGAAACCTCCCCTAGGGAGAGTAAGTCAGGGGCCACAGTGAATGGAAAATTTAAAAGACAAGAACAATTATACTTGTATCACATAAAATAAACTTCTGACCAAAAAGTTAACCTGAAACAAAGATGGATATTATATTTCAAAAAGATGAAAATGAAAAAGGATCAACACAATAGGAAGATATACCACTTGTTAATATCTTTAACCCAATATACCCACCAAGGTATATAGGGTAGATATTAACAGGTGTAAATATCCATTGAGAACAGCACAATAATAACATGGGAGTTTAGTGCTTCATTTTCTAAATGGACATTCATCCAGACAGCAAATCAACAAGGAAGCAATGACCTTAAATGAGAAATCGGATGAGATTTACTTAACAGATGTTCACAGAGCATAAAACCCAAAAGCAACAGAATACGTATTCATTCAAGGTGTTCACAGAACTTTCTCACTGATAGACCACATGCTGAGACACAAGTCTCCATAAATTCATGAAGGCTGAAATTGAAATCTTATCAAACTCGTTTCATATAACAATGGAATGAAACTAGAAAACAACCAAAAGAAGAGAGAGAACTACACATTAGAGGAAGTGAAACTACACGCTACCAAACAATTGGGTTAATGAGGAAATCAAAAATTACCTGAAGACAAATGAAAATGAAGACACAACTCATCATAACTGAAGGGATGCAGCACAGGCAGCACTAAGAGGGAGGTTAATAGTAATACAGATCTGGGCCTCCGCGGTGACGCAGCCGGTTGAGCGCAGTGTTGTGGAGCTGTCCACAGCCTCTGCAGTGTGGGTTTGATCCCAGCCAGCCTAGAAGAAACTACATGGCGCGGCAGACCTCTCCTGTCTTGCCTGCTGCTCCCCTCAGCAGTGTATTTCGTCAGTCTGTTCCCCACTGTCTCCAGTGAATCCTCTCACCTGCCCGCACATCTGGCCTGTACCCCTGTTCTTGTATAAAAATCAATAAATCTTTAAAAATAAATAAATAAACAATTTTATGATGTCAACAGGCAAGGACATCACAAAAACAGACCTCTATAAACCATCATCTCTGATAAACATAGATGCAAAAGTGCTCAACAAAATACAAGTAAGCTGAATTCAACATTGGAACTCCTAGCCACAGCAATTAGACCAAAAAGGTTATAAAGGTAACCAAAATGTACAGAAAGAAATAAAAATATCAGTATTTGCAGATTACATAATTTACATATAAAATCCAAGGGCTCCAATGAAAAGCTATTCGCAGCAACAAAAAAATACAGTAAGGTGAGAGGCTAAAAAATTAATATATAAAAATCTGTGTTGTTTCTACACGCAAATAATAAACAGCAGAAAGTGAAATTAGGAAAACCATCCCATATCAATCAAGTAAAAAAAAGTCAAATCAAAGAGGTGAAAGGCCTCTGAAAACTCTGATATTGTTGAAAGAAACAGAAGACATTATGAACTGGAAAGATCATGTTGCTCATAGACTGGAAGAAACAACATCATGAGAATGGTTGTATGACTTACAGCCACGTTCAGGTTCAATAACATCCCTAGGGCCTCCCCAGTGGCACAGCGGTTGAGCGCTGGGTTGCGAAGCTGCCCACAGACTCTGCAGCGCAGCGCCGGTTCAATCCCCGGCTGCTGCCCGGCCACCAGAGGAGGGTCCCGCATGGCGCACAGACCTCTCCTGCCGCCCGCTGCTCCCCTCAGCAGTGTACTTCGGTCCTTCTGCCTGCTCTGCTCCCCGCTCTGGCTCTGGTGAATCCCCTCACCCTCCCGCGCTTCTGACTGTACCCAGTGCTTGTATAAATAAATAAATAAATAAATCTTAAAAAAATAAATAACATCCCTAAAAACACCAAATGACATTCTCCATAGAAATGGAACCAAAAAATCATAAAAATTATTTGAAATTACAAAAGACCCCAAATAGCAATAATAATCCTGAGAAAATAAGAATGAAAATGGAGGCATCATGCTCCCCACCTCCAACTAGTACAAAGCAATAGTAATCAAAACAGCATGGCTTTGGAATAAGAACAGACAGAAAATGGAATGGAACTGAGAACCCAGAAATAAACTCATATATATACACACATACACACACACACACACACACACACACACACACATATATACACAACTAACTTACAACAAAGTAGCCAAGAGCTTACAATGGAGCAAGGAATGTCTTTTCAATAAATGGCACTGGGAGAATTGGACAGTTACATGCAAAAGAATGAAAGTCGACTTCCCTCACACCACACACAAAAATTAATTCAAAATGGATTAGGGATTTGGATGTAAGACAGGAAACCATAAAATACATAGGAGAAATGATAGTCATTATGACCCGTGACATCCTCCTTAGACATGTCTTCAGGGAATGGACACCAAATGCAATGGCAATAAGAAAAAAAAAACAAGTAGGGCTCCATCAAACTGGAAAGCTTCTGCACAGCAAAAGAAATTGCCATCTCAATGACTATAACCTACTGAATAGGAGAAGATATTTGCACATCACATATCTGACATCATATATCTAATATCCAAAATATATTAACAACTAACAAAATTCAACAGTAAAAACCAAAACTGATTATAAAAATGGGATCTAACAGATACTTCTCCCAAGAAAATATATAGGTACATGAAAAGATGCTTATCATCTCTTATTGTAGGGAAAAACAAATCAAAACTACAATGAGATATCACCTTGCATCTGTGAGAAGGGCCTATAACAAAAAGACCAGATACAACAAGGGTCAGAGAGGATGCAGAGAGAAAGGAACCCCTGTACCCTGTTGGTGTGAATGTAAATTCATGCCAATCAATAGGGAAGAAATATATATAAAATATATATTTCAAAATATACACAAAAATTATACAAAATATATGCAAAAGTATATACAAAATATATAACATAATTCTGTATGATCCAGTCATCCCGCTTCTTGGTATTTACCACCAAAAAAAATACAAAAAAATACAATGGATGGTGGGAATTTCACGGGGACTATAACCAAGATGAAATGCATACATTGTATAAAAATAAAAAATGATGTAAAAAAAATCAAAACAACTGGTTCCCAGATCTGTGCAGATACCCCAAATAAAGAAGGTCCTTCAGGCTCTTAGAATTGAACCTTGGACTCCAGAGTCCCTGTTATTTATTCCTGCTTCTTTTCCCAGGAATGAATTGCACCCTTCCTGGAATCAACCCTAAATTCTCCCCTAAAACGAGAGGGGTCTCATAATAGAATTTCAGGATCTACTCTAGAGCCTCTGAGTCTTCAGGAGTGTCCAGGTGACTCTTATGCTTGCTGAAGTGGGGTCTCTGGTCTCTTGTGCCTTCGGTATGTGGTGTTGGACTGTGCAATGTACTCTCCTGAACACCGGGGGTCCTGGGGTCCAGTCCTGCTCCTTTCTCTTCTGCAAAGAAATATAATGGAAAGAATCACTCCCTGGGTGACCTCATTCATGGTCAAGAGTTTAGGTATCGTTTATACTATATCATCTCCCAAAGCTATTCTCAGCTCAGACGATCCGCCTGTGCTACAGCTTGTCTCTCCAACTGCCAGTGGGGGTTGAGAAGAAATCCTGCATCACTCAGCCCCCACAGGGCAGCTGTCTCACACTGTGAAGGAAAAGGATCATGAAAAAATTCAAAGAAACATGCAAGTGTCAACATTCTCCATAGTCCACCGCATCCCCAGAATGTCCTCTTCACAGCTTCCCCATCACCTGGTCCTGTCCTCTCTGCCCCAGCCCCTCCCACTGCAGGCCTCCAAGTCTCACCTTTAGGAGCTGAGAGAGACACATTCGAGCCCTGGGCACTGTTGCTGCCTGGGGGAGAACAAAACAGAACCTGGTCAGAGGCAGGAGAGAGAAGACCGCAGAGGACCTGATGAGGTGACTCCCCCAGGGGCTCCAGCTACACTGTCCCCACGGGCTCAGAGCTCCAGCCCTTGATCCACACTTACCTGCAGCCTGAGTGTAGCTTCCTCTTTGTCCTTCTGTGGGAAGAAACATCATGTGAGACCAAGGAGGAGTCAGTCCATGAAGTCTAAAGGAATCCCCACGTTCTAGAACACAGGAATGTTTCCAGACTGTGGGCCTCCCCGGTGGCACAGGTGGCACAGCAGTCGAGCGCTGGGTTGCAAAGCTGCCCGCAGCCTCTGCAGCACCAGTTCAATCCCGGCCACTGGTGAGTGTCCCACAAGGCGCACAGACTTCTCCTGCTGCCCGCTGCTCCCCTCAGCAGTGTACTTCGTCATTCTGTCTGCTCTGCTCTCCCCTCTGGCTCTGGTGAATTCTCTCACCCTCCTGTGCTTCTGACTGTACCCAGTGCTTGTGCAAATAAATAAATAAATCTTTAAAAAAAAAAAAAAAGTTTCCAGACTGTGACTGAAGACCCAGGGCAGGACCAGGTAACATGAAGAAAGGAGATGAGAGGGATCTGGACCAACTGCCTTCCCTCTGATATTTTCTGGGAGTAAGGTTCCCAGAATTATCAAGATGAATTAATTCATGATTCATTTTCATAACCATTTCATAAGCATTTAGTCAGCTCCAGACTAAGGGACACATGTGTGTGGATAGTATTTACATTTACCAGGGAGGGCAAAAAAGCCCTCCAGTGGTCCAGGTACCCCCCATTCCCTTCCCTACCTGAACTTCTTCATCCACATCACAGCTACAGCCACCGCAGCACCAAGTGAACACAGCTCCAAGGAGAACCAGGCCAGCAATGACACCCCCCGTGGGTTGGAGGACTGTGGAGGGGGCACTGGAAGGGAAGGGAAGGTCAGACCCTGAGCCCCAGGCCTCCATGTGATGCTCTGAAAGTTTCCAGAACGGCTCCTGATTGCCCTGGGCAGAGGTTCTACCCATGAACCCCTCCTCACCCCATCTCAAGACTTGGGGCTCCAGCAGCCCCTCATGCTGCACATGGCACGTGTATCTCTGCTCCTCTCCAGAAGGCACCACCACAGCTGCCCACTTCTGGAAGGTTCCATCGCCCCCAGGCCTGGTCTCCACCAGCTCTGTGTCTGGGGTTAGGTCCTCCCCATCTTGCTGCCAGGTCAGGGTGATGTCCGCAAGGTAGAAGCCCAGGGCCCAGCACCTCAGGGTGACCTCATGCTCAGTGATGGGGTGGTGGGTCATGTGTATGTTCGGAGGATCTGAGGGGAGAAGAATCAGAAAATTTCACTCTTTGGGTTTGCTCCAGGGACACTGAGCAGCCTCACGTGACAACCCTCGGAATGGACAGCACAGTCAGTGTGGAGGGAGGAAGCACAAACCCAGAGCCCTGCCTGGTCTGGGGAATCTGGGCTAATAGGAGGAGAACCCAGGGTAGGAGGAGGCAGGTCTCTAAGGAGAACAAAGACTTTTGCTTTGACCTGGGTAAAAAGTGAATGAACAGAAAGGCAGGAGTCAGATCCAAAACCGTTCTCAGACCAAAAACAAGCCCTTGAGAGAGAAACTCCTGCTTCCCAAGACTGCTGCTGTCTCACAAGGGTCCAGGGAAGGGCTGGTTCAGGGTGGTCTCCCTCCCTCAGGAGAGATTGGATTCCTTCCTTGTCCTTCAGAGAAGCGGGGTCCTCTGGAGGACTGTCTCTCTCTACAGAGCCTGAAACCCAGAGGAATTCCTCCCCGACCAGAGAGAGGGCCTGAGGAGAGATGGGGTTCGCTGGGTCCCTCTTACCTGCCTGCTGCAGCACCTCCTTCCCGATCTCCAGGAATCTGCGGAGCCACACCAAGCACCTGCCCTCCAGGAAGTTCCTGAGGCGCTCGGCCTCCCTGCTGGCCTCCCACTCGCGCCGGGTGATCTGAGCCTCCGTGTCCGCCGCGGTCCAGGAGCGCAGGTCCCGGTTCAGGGCCAGGTAATCCGCGCCATCATAGGCGACCTGATCGTACCCGCCGAGGAGGCGCCCGTCGGGCCCCGCGTCGCAGCCCAGAGTCCTCTGGATCGTGTGAGACCCTGAGCCCCGGCCCTGAGGTCAGTGCCCTGGTCACACCACCCGCACCCCGACCTCCAGCCCAGAAAAAAACGTAAACTTAAAATCTCAGGGGTGAAAGACCCGCGGGCTCTTCCCGGGCCACGGCGGGAGCAGTAGCCTCGGGTGACCTCGGACCCTGAGACTTGGGGCGCCCCGGCTGGTCGGTGGGGATGGGGGCGGTGACCTCGCCCTGAGCCCACATTGCTCACCAGCCTCGCTCTGGTTGCAGCGGCCGCGCAGGTCCTCCAGGAGCGCTCGGAGCCTCCGGGCGGTGCGCTTTTGGTTCAGGGTCTCCTCGTCCAGGTCCTCCTGCCGCACCCGCCCCGCCCAGGGCGCCCGCAGCTCCGCCCTCCCACCCGGGGAGTCGCTGTCGAACCGCCCGAACTGCGTGTCGTCCACGAGGCCCACCCCGATGAAGCGGGGCTCCCCGAGGCCGGGCCGGGACATCGCGGTGGAGAAATACCTCAGGGAGTGGGGGCCTGGGGGCGGGAGGGGAGACCCGGGCTGAGCCTCCGCCCCGCGCGTCCCGAGTCCCAACGTGATGGGGGTGGGGGGCAGAGGGGAAACCTTAGGGTGAAAAGGGGCAACTGGACGAGAAGGGCGGAGACTCGGGGCTAACGGAGGCAAGAGGCTGGGGGGACAGAAGGGCCAAGACAGGACGGGCCGGGGTGGGGGGGCAAAGGCCCTGCGGTGGGGGAGACCCTCCTTTCCCGGGGGCTCCCCCCCCCCCAGCCAGGGGACCCCTTACTGCGCCCACCAGCAGCAACTGTTTCCCTCCCACCCGACTCACCCGCCCAGCTCTCCGCCAGGGCCAGGGCCAGGGCCAGGGCCAGGGCCAGGGCCAGGGCGAGCAGCGGCAGGAGGCTTGGGGGCCGCATCACCTGAGCCCTAGAGGTGCCGCGCATTTGGATCTTGGCGCGTCAGTGGGGACTGTACTTACTTGGAGCCGGGCGATGCTGATTGGCTGCTCTTTTTTGATGCTGATTGGCTGCACTTTTTAACAGGGAGATGCTGATTGGCTGCTCTGGAAACCTCCAGGCAATGGGGAGTGAGAACTGCAGTTGAGTCAGGAGTTTCCAGGCCCCGGGGTGGGGTGGAGGGTAACGTAGGGTGAGAGGGAGAGCTGATAATGAGCGGGGTGGGGTATCCCCAATAGTCATCTGCCCTACACCAGACCCAGACCTGGGGGCCGAGACTATGAGAACCACGCCCAGGGACATGGGACTTTGCGCTGCCTCCTCCTTTTCTGCCCCAAGACCCCTGAGGCCAAGCCTAGGGGCTGGGTCAGTGATTCTCAAAACATTTCCTTTCGTGATCTCTGCGCAGTCTCACAAATTAGCCAGGACCCCAGTATAATTTTATGAGGTTATAGCTATTCATATTTATCACACTAAGAATAGATTTTTTAATGATGTTACTATTTCACTTAGAATAATATTAATAAGCCGATGTATGTTAACAGAAAATGTTTTTAAGAAAACTATTTCTGAACGTATCAGGGCATAAGAAGAGTGGGTCTTTTACATTTTGTAATTGTGCAAGTGTCTTTCTTGTCTGTGTCAGATGAAGACTAGGATTTTCGTGTTTCCTTCCGCTTTTCATCTGTGATTTTGGTTGTAGTCTGTGAAAAAAATATATACAGTCTCACAAATGTGTAGGACTAGTATTTTCAGGTAATTGTGAATATTCCACTTTGATTCAAAATTAAAACTACACAGGTGGTGGTTTCTTGAAGATTATTTACAAAGTGAAATCTGAAATATTATCACTTAATATTCCTATTCTGTTATTTTTCCATAAGCCTGTCTTGCAAATTGGTTGGATCTTGTGCTAATGTATGATTTTTTTTTTTGCATTGTTCCCCTAAGTTATGTAGATCTTCAATGTTCATTATGCTGGAATCAAATTATCAAAAACTCACATATGTTTATTTTTTACCAGAAATCCCAAAAGTAGTACTGACTGTACGTTGTCAAGTTAGTGATAGGACACAATTTTTCATTATTTTTTCTGAGATCTTATAATTTGTCAGGATAAAATTACTGTCATTTCTCAAATATCAGTTGATTTTCTTTTTTTCTTTTTTTTAAGATTTATTTATTTATTTATACGAGAACTGGGTACAGGCCAGATGCATGGGAGGTGAGAGGATTCACCAGAGCCAGAGTGTGGAGCAGAACAGGCAGACTGACTAAATACACTGCTGAGGGAGCAGCGGATACGACAGGAGAGGTCTGCTGCACCATGTGGGACCCTCAAGGGCAGGCTGGCCAGGATCCAACTGGAGCTGCAGAGGCTGCAGACAGCAGTGGGGTGCTCCACTGCCTGCAGCCAACAGGGAGGCCCTACAGTTGATTTTCTGAAAGGAACAGACATTTATTTTCAGGAAAGTGTCTGCCAATTTGTCATTCATCCCTTCAAGTAAAGATGTTATTGCCTACAAAATAAAGAGGCTAATTCACCTCATACAAATATTTTCTTTGGGAGCCTCCCTGGTGGCACAAGGGATTAAGCACAGCACTGTGAAGCTCTCCACAGCCACTGCAACAAGAGTTAGATCCCCTGCTAGCCACGGGGCTGACCCACACAGCCCAGGAGAACTCTCCTGTCTCCCCCACTGCTCCCCTCAGCAGTGTATTTCAGTCAGTCTGCCTGTTCTGCTCCCCATTCTCTCTGGTGAATCCTCTCATTCCCCACACCTCTGTCCTGTACCCCAGTTCTTGTATGCAGAAATAAATAAATCTTTAAAAAAAACAAACAGTATTTCCCTTGGGATACAGTATTTTGGGATCTAGCAGAAGTGCTCTGTGTGTACTTCCATGTTTCACATCAGATTTTATTTTTAAAGATTTATTTATTCAAGCACTGGGTACAGTCAGAAGTGCGGGAGGGTGAGAGAATTCACCAGAGCCAGAGCGGGGAGCAGAACAGGCAGACTGACGAAGTACACTGCTGAGGGGAGCAGCGGATGTGGCAGGAGAGGTCTGCGTGCCAAGTGGGACCCTCGCCTGGTGGCCAGGGATCAAACCGCTGTTGCAGAGGCTGCGGGCAGATTCGCAGCCCAGCGCTCAACCGCTGAGCCACCTGTGAGGCCCGGTATTTTTTAAATGTACATTTGAGGATCATACAATAGCAAAAAAATTTTTAATCCTTTATCCAGGACATTCTCAAGAAAACTGGCTTGAATTTTTATTTCTGCAGGTAAGTGCCGGTGAAGAATAACTGTTACTGTAGTTGGTGCTATAACCTACATTCCTACCACGTTTTACCTCAGCAAATGTCAAAATGGTGAAAAAGCCAGTGGTGTCTAAGTGATGTTTTGAAAATAATTTTGACCTCCTGCATCCATGAAAGGTTCTGGATGACTTCAAGGGCTCCACAGACCACACTTTGAGAAATGCTTTTCTCACTGAATCAGGGAGCCTCTCCCAAGTGTTCTCTGCTTTTGCCTCCTATTCACTTCCCAGAATTTCTCTCCCTGGCTGGCTCCCTGCCTCCCCAAGCTGCCTCCCCAGCAGATACAATGGAGAGCAGAGAGAGAACCCTGGGGACATGGAGCTTGCACTGTCATGAGAGATGGACACTTAGTAAAGGTGACAAAGACATGTGTAAACCTTACCTGAGCCGCGTGCTGGAAGAAAAAGTTTGTACCTTGTAAAATCAGAGAAGCAAGAGTCTTAACAGGTCCCTACTCTATTATCAATAATATCAAAAGATGAGAAGGCTCCCAGGGGAGCCAGAGGTGAGCTGGGAAGTTCGCCCATGCCAGGCCCCTTCTGGCCTGCAGTCTGAGCCCAGAGGGGGAGTGGGAACCCACCGCTGGGGCAGACCAGGCATGCACAGGGGAGTGTGTCCATGCATCAGCATTTTAGAACAGGGACCTTTCTTCAGTAAAGACTGCTTGAAACCGACAGATGGGTCCCAGAGGAGCCAGAGGGGAGCTGGGAAGTTCACCCAAGATGTCGGCCAGTACCAGCAACACAGTGTCCCAATGCATAGGGCAAATTAGAAAACAGACAGTAGGGAGTAGAAAAACCACACGCAACCCAGCAACTCCTCAGCAAAAAAACACACCACAAAAAGAAAACCACCCCCCAGATTGCAATGACAGTAACTTGGAAGAACTTCTGAGACTTCGAGAAAGAGAATTTACAATTGCCGTGATTAAAAAACTGACAGAAGTCATAAAGGAAAACAATGATAAGGGAAAAATAATCAACGATAAGAAGAATGAAATTGAGTCCCTAAAGAGGGAAGTAAAAGAAATGCAGGAGATCAGAGAATTAATGGAGGCCCTAAAGAACTCTGGGAAAAGCAATGAAAGCAGAATAGATGAAATGGAAGAACGAATAAGTACTCTTGAAGACACAGAAATAAAAAGAACCAAAACAGAAAAGGAAAGAGAAGTACAAAGGAAAAAGACTGAAGAAAGACTTTGGGAACTATCTGACTCCATGAGGAAAGGAAATATAAGTGTTATAGGAATCCCAGAAGGAGAGGAGAGAGATGTAGGAACAGAGAAAATATTCAAGGAGATAATTGAAGAGAACTTCCCAAACGTGAAGGAGCTGAAAATTGATATACAAGAAGCAAGAAGAACACCAGACTTCCACGACGAAAGGAAAAATACAGCAAGACAACATAATAGTAAAGCTTCCAAGAATCCAGGACAAGGAAAAAATAATGAAGCTGACAATAGGGAAGAAACAGATAACATTCAAAGGAAAACCGATCAGACTGACATCAGACTTCTCCGAAGAAACACTATGGGCAAGGAGAGAGTGGAGGGACATAGTCAACAGACTCCAAGAAAACAGATGCCAACAAGAATACTCTATCCCGCAAAGCTCTCCTTCCTCTATGAAGAAAGAATAAGGACCTTCCCAGACAAACAGAAACTCCGGAATTTCATTACGACTAAACCCCACTCCAAAAATACTACAAGGAATCCTAAAGCCAGAACCTTTAGGAATCCTAAAACCAACAACGAAAGAAGGCCAAAAAAAAAAAAGTTATTAAAAAAATAAATAAATAAAATCAAAGGAAAGACAAACACAATGGCTAATACAGATGCTAACATATCAATATTAACTCTAAATGTAAGGGACTAAACTCTTCAATAAAAAGACATAGAGTCACAGGCTGGATTAAGAAACAAAACCCAACCTTTTGCTGTCTCAAGGAAATACATTTAGATACAAAAGATAAAAATAGACTCAAGTTAAAGGATGGAAAACAATTCTACAAGCAAATGGACCAAAAAAGAAAGCAGGAACAGCTATACTTATATCAGATAAAACAGATTTCAAACTCAAAAAGGTAAAAGGAGACCACAACGGTCACTACATTATGATCGAGGGGACAATACTTCAGAAGAAATAACACTCATTAACATATATTCACCCAACGAAGGAGCACCAAAATATATCAGACAACTATTGTCATCTCTGAAAACAGACATCAGAGAAAACGCA